ACTGTTAAGCCCAAGATAAATATTAGGTATTATTAGTATCTTGATCATACCCACAAATCATATCATTTCCTTTGCTCCTTAGTTCTTTCAAGGGCTCTTAGATAGCCCTTGTCTAAATTATCACTTTACACAGACCTCCTTGCTCCTACTCGGGGGGCATTTTGACATTAAACTAACCCCCTCAGCACTTGGATAAGATCTAGAATATAAAAAAGTTTGAAAAATAGAATAACTCTCTTACATTTTAGTGCCATCCTTAAACCCTTAGTAAGTGATAACCATTTCTGAAGATGGCCAAATTACTTTAGATATAATTTTCTTAACTGATGATAATATGTTTATCATAAATTTATCCCTGTTCCTTATATAAAGAAAAATTGCTTACTAAAAAACAAACAACAGAAGAAATGATATAGTATGAATGACATACTTGATGCAAAAATCTCTTCTTCCTCAGAATATTTACAAATGACATTGCAATCACTTCATTCACCTTGAAGGGACTTTCTCCAGAAAGAAATGCAGTAGTTCTTCTGCAGCTCACAATCACCTCGCTAACTATTTAGGGCAAGAGGTGAAAAATATTTACCCTAAAGACTGGGGAAGATTAGAATAAGAAAGAATATAATTATTCATGGATATAGAATATAGAATGAGAAAAACTGGCTGAGGTTGACACCTCCACGCATCTGATAAGCGCTATGAGGTCATTGATGACTGGGAGGGGCAGGACCTCTGTTGAATCCTCATCTGAAAGACGTCAAGCAGAGTACATTTTCCCATGGTACCATTCTGACATTTGGGGTCAGTGCTCTCACCAAAAAAAAAAAAAAAAAAAACAACAACAAAAGTCACTTGCATAAATGCAGCTTTAGTAGCACCTGAGAGTCCTTGGAAGTCATCCAGCTGAATGTCCATTTAGTGTGGCCAAGTCAACTTATTAGACATTTATGGTGTTTGAGATGTCTTTCTGATGGGGGGGGGGTGTGTTTCCATAGGTGTGAGTCTATGGAAAGGAATGAAGCTGCTGTGGTTGGTGGATGCTCTCAGCACAGAAGGGTCTAACAACATGGTTTCTGAAGACAAATGCAATCTAGCTTTATTTATAACATCTTATTGTGGAAGTGGAGTTAACTTTTCTCAAACTTCCTGACTTTTTTGAGACTTAGATTTCTGAGACTTAGTTTCCTCATCTACAAAAGAGAATGATCATATCTTCCTCATATACTTTTTGTAAGAATTAAATGAGATAGGACTGATAAAATATGTGATAATTATTAAGTATTCATATTTTTGCTTCATTTTTGCCCCCATTCTGCCACTCATTAACATCTAATAGCTTATTCTACATATTTTCAGGACTTTCCTTTGAAAGGATGATTACTATTTTTCTTCATTGAGTTTATACTTCAATAAGGAGAATTTAAGATAATTCATTTCTTAATTACCTTCACGTTAACATTCAGTTATATGGATAGTATCATACCAGTAAATGTCAGTATAGGTAATAAATAAATATTTATTTTGTCTGCCTCCTTTTTAAACAGCATTTTTCTCATTTCTGAAATATCAGCTTAATTTCTTCTCTTCTGAAAAAATCTTCTCCCCTCATGTGACTGAAATTGAGTGTTTTACAGAGGGGACATTTCCCCTTTGTAGGTCAAAAACATACTTCTTTCTGTAAACTATTCTATAGGATAAGAATTCCAAAGGATGACTTTTGAGATTTACATGTAGATATGAATCTTATTAAACATGCTAATACTCTTCTAGAAAGACTACCTATATTCTTCACATAACATTTATAATATGAGTAGTACTTAGTGTAGATAATTAACATCTGGAGAATTGGATCCCTATATTCCCCATTCCTCTCTTAGATGAGGCTTTTATAAGACCCATCCAAGGAGACCATGCAGGTCCTCATAAGAAAAGTCTTTGCCTTTTCTCTGAGGGATGTAGGAAGAAATTGGGGGGTTTGACTTAAGTATGGAGACAAATTTTGGTTGTGGTACTTGGATAGATTATAGTAAAGCATAGGTAGAAGCAAGAACAGATGATGATGATTTGGACCAGGGGCTAGTAGGAGAGGTGATGACATTTCTAGATTCTGGTCATATTTTGCAATTCAAGCAGAGAGTCCATCTAGCTGGGCTAGACATGGCAAGTGAGCAAAAGAAAGCAGTCAAGGATAACCACAGGGTTTTGGCTTGACCATCTAGATGGATGTAGTTTCCATCAACTAAAATAGCACAGGGTGTTAGAGCAACTGGATTGGGGTGGGGCCTGAGGGGTTTAGTTTGAGACATGTTAAGCTTGAGCTATCAATTAGACAACCAAGTGGATATGGCAAGCAGGCAATTAAACATGCAATCTGGACTTTAAGAGAAATGTTTGGTTTGGTGATAGAAAACCTTTGATATGTACCTCTTAATATTTGTTAAGGTAAGCAACAATCATGATTAAAACAGACACATCTCCTTTGGCCAGGTCATTTGATATGTCCACAATAACTGTAATGCTTTCTTACTTACTTACCAGGTTTATTACCCCCATTTAATGGTAAATTCCCCATTTTTTAGTCTAGTTTGATGGTATTTTTGAGAAGGACATTAAATTTCAAAATAAATATCAAAAATGTTATGTGCACATATAGTCAATATAATTCTGAAAAATGCCCTTTCAGTACAAAATACTTAGCAATGGAAAAGTCATTCAGTATGATGATTAAGACAATAGGTCTCAGTCTTGAAATGAATTTACATTGTAACACATCTCCATGAATAAGTCTCTAATTTTTCAGGTCTCAGTTTCCTCATCTGTAAAACTGAGACCAGCTGGGATTATGGAGACTATTAAATGAGATAATAAATATGATTCATTACAGTGCCAGATACACAGTGAGGTTCTTACCAGTTTCAGCTATGATGCTGATATAATAAGCAGCTTTCCTTTTTGTTTTCAATTGGAGTGACAATTAAAGATTCCTATGGTTTTTCATTTACTGTGGATTTTGCATATATCACTTAAGTTTAGAAAACCTTATCTTGAGACATTACACCAGGAGAAGGAAAAGGACATTAAGAGTTTGATTCAGGGCCTCCCCAGTGGTGCAGCGGGTTGAGCACAGTGCTGTGGAGCTCTTTGCAGCCTCTGCAGCACGGTTTGATTCCTGTCTGGCCAGGGAGATACCCACATGGTGCGGCAGACCTCTCCTGTCTTGCCTGCTGCTCCCCTCAGCAGTGTTTTCGGTACGTCTGCCTGTTCTGTTCTCTGCTCTGTCTCTGGTGAATCCTCTCACCCTCCCGCACCTCTGACCTGTACCCTGGGTCTTGTATAAATAAATAAAAAAAAAAATCTTTAAAAAAAAGTTTGATCCAACCTGTTACAGGCACCTCCATTTTCCCCTTTGCCAATATTGGTCATTAACAAATGGAATGAACTGACTCAAAAGAAAACATACTACATTTATGTCTTCTGTCTTCTGCTATTTTAATTGTGTATAATTTGTTTTTAAGCAATGGTTCTTTGGGGAAAACAGAATATGTTTACTATAGGAAAACACATTCTTTTAGCCCAGTAATTTTGGAAGCAAAAGATGGTCTCCATGGTAAGAGATGGAAAAGGAGTAGTATTAATAGAAGATGGCACAGAACTAATGCACATTTTATAGTATCAAGGAAAGATTTTTTAGCCTCCCTGCCTAAAACAACATTGTGAACTCTAAGTCATGCTAACTTGGTGAACAGAATAAAAAGGAAAGAGCTCCAATCTAACTGCTCAGTGCCAGTCAATAGTAGCTCCCAGGAAGCATCTCAGGGCAGCAGGAACCTCTCACACTGTGACACATGGAGGCTTAATTGGTCCTCTTATAGTGTGGAGGAAAGACTTGGAAAATTCTTCTGACCTCTTAGAAGCAGATTTATACAGGTATAATAGTGCTTTAGTCCTTGCCTCCTGAACCCGTCAAATTAATAGGATATCAAAATGGATAAAAGCCTAATAAGCCAATGATGGTCCAACATTCCACCTCTTTTCCAGAATAATTTGGATCCCAATCACTTGCTTCTGTGTCTTTAGCACCTTGCATACAGTGTCAAAAGGGATGTGCTCCCTCCTGACACCCACTTTTCCTGTATTGTTTTCTGGTATTTTTTTTCTTATTTTTCTCTGTGTTTGTATGTATGGTATTTGGGGGGTTAACACATTCCTTTTTACTTGTTAGAATCTGAATTTCTTGAAATGATCTATTCTTGCTCCAGACTCTATTTTCTGTTCTCTACACTGTACTTAATCATACAAACCTCTCCTTTCCCTTTCATTTACATAGTCTTCCATGCTAAAATAGTGACATTCACACCATAATCACCATTGAAATGAGACAATATCCAGAAACATGATCATAAAATAGTAAATTATATTTAAAAAATAAGCACACCAGAATATAATTATCTCTAGGAGTATTGCCCCCACTAAAAAGTAGCAATGAGATACACATAAGGTATTAATTTTAGAACCATTTTATGATCTTGACATGAAAATCATCTTATTACCTTACATTAGCTTCCTGTTTTTTCCACATTAGTATTACTCACCTAATTCACCACACTTGATGCCAAATTCCCTTTGACGGTTTTCACAGTTCAAAGCAGTTCTATTACGGACTTTCAAAAGGAGACGGAACATATCCACAAGATAATGCTGAAGGAGAATTACAAAATTGTTCTTGAGTAATAGCAGTATGATTAAAATGCCTGTAGTTCCCAAGTACTTTAGAAAGAAACACTCCCTTTTGGATACATAAATATTCAGATTTCAGAATACATAAATATTCAAATTTCGATTCAGATAAGGAATCGAACTTACTATTTTACAGTCACATCATAAAAGCCCACTCTAAAGTTCTGTATTTTAAACTCTATTCCAATACATAAATTAAACTTTATGTAGAAAATATGCTGTTGATAATAATAATAATATATCTGTCTTTTTGTCTCTAGGACTATATTTGATAAGCAGGAACTACTGGAGTTTGCTCAACTTGGCTGTTACTTGGAATATGATCTCTTTGGTACCGAACTCCTTCATTACCAATTCAACCCAGATATTGACATGCCTGATGATAATACAAGAATTAGAAGGTAAATAGCATGAAATCTCTCATAGCACTTGCTTTAACCAATCCTTTTTGATTCTCATATCTGGGTGAGTATTAGCAAAGATTTAGAAAACAGTATGCTGGCTGAACCAGAGACTTGCAGAGAAAAATGTACGTGTGCTGTTTCAGGGGGAAAATCTCTATCTATTATTTCAAGGAGAAAATGAGTCATTCTAAGTAGGCAAAAGCTTAGCACAGCCTTAGACATTCAGCTCAAATGGGCAGCTGACAGGAAACGCATGTAATACTCAACCCCTGCCATGACAATAAAAGAGCAAAAGACATTTTCCTCCTTTTACTCCTAATGAAATAAGCTGTTTCTTTCCCAAGTTGACCACACTAAAGTCATAACTTCCTACAATGCGTTTGTGAAATGCTTTATTAAAAATTAAATTAAATGCCATAAGTTTAATGTCTAAAAACCAGATATCATTAAAATTTAAACTCCCCAAATATCGAATGGGTAGTGAAAGCAACAATTATACAAGTCATACTCTGCAACCAAATAGAAAATTTTGAAAGTTAAGGATGAATGGCTCCTTGGTTTGTCTTGATTACATGGTGAAAGAAAGATTGAATGCACCAAAATAGGGGATATGGGAGGAAACACAGGTTTGGGATTGACAAGGATGACTTTTGTTTGGGCCCCTGGGTAAGGGTGTGAAGCACAGGGCAGAGATACGATGTGAAATATAAATCTATATCGGATCATTTCTATGTGATAGTTGAACACATGGGGTTGAATGAGATTACTCAAAGATGAGAATGGGAATGGAGTCCCAGAGAATACTGACATTTAAGGGATAAGCTGAGGAACAGTCATTCTAGGATAGGCTGAAAAATTTTCAAAGGGCTAAAAATATAAGGGAAATACACTGTTATGGAAATTGGTAGACAAGAGTGCTCAAAGCAGAAGGACTAAACATTTTTAGTGCGTGACAGGTATCTAGTGAAACAAAGGCTGAAAAATGCTCATTGGCCTTTACAATCAAGAAGTTCTCACTTCACAGTCTATAAGTGCAGCCTTTCTAGAAAAAGCTTGAAGAATGAATAGGAGGTAAAGAAGAGGAGAGAGAATGTGGAGATTACTCTTTCAAGAAGTCTGTTAGTAATGGGAAGCAGGGATGGAGGGCTAAGTCTAGAAGGCAAGACAGGAACAACAGGAGTTTCGCTAAGTTGAGCAATGTTTATGTGACTGAGAGTAAGAGGAGAGAGAGAGAGCGAGCGAGAGAGAGCAAGAGAGAGAGAGAGAGAAAGTAGTGTCTATTCTACAGAGTAGTTACAGAATTTATATGAAATAAAGTATGGAAAGTTTTCAGTTGAGTACCTGGTGCTGAGGATGAAATGGTCAATGATAACTTAAAAGATCCTGGAGAAATTTGAGCAATAGAGCAAGGCCCCTAAAGAGACAAGTAATTGGAATCTGGGAAGCAAATCGAAAGTTGGTTGAAAGGAAGTACTCATTCTCCATCTAAATGAAAGGGGACAAGGCAATGAGTAGAATGCAGATGAATGTCCTGGTCAGAGGAACAGGAAACTGAGGACTTGTGGCCTCATATTTTCTCCAATTTGCCTAAGAAGTAGACATGATCCTCTTCTCAGAAAGAAGTCATAGATTCAGGACAGAACCTTGTGAAGGAGAAGAAAGCTGGGAATGGATGTTGTTCCATATAGATGAGATGTTCAGTTCGACATGAGGTAGCTAATTGACTGCCCTGACCAAGGATGCTAGGGTTGGTGGTTATTTTTTTAACTACTAAAACCAATTATTTGACAAGCAGATTGTTTCATCTCTGTCTGTTTAATTTTATGATTTCAATTTACTTGCCTAGGAGCACCGTTCAATACAGAAAAACACATTTCTGTAGGGTTCCTCCTTTGCACATGCCTTACTCAGCTTGCAGATGAATGTCCTCTGGAATTTAAGATGGGGTGGTGGGGTAGTTCTTTCTCATATTTCATGATCTCAAAACCATGGTTTTTTGATGAGTGTTCTCAACACATGTTTCACAATTCATCTTGGAAATAAAAGTTTTCTCCCAGGATCTGCTTCATTTCCCAAAGCCACTGTGCAGCAATGAGTGAGGTGTATCATTTGCACCCCTGTGCCTTCCATGAGGCTCCCAGGCCTTCTGCCTTCTAGAATACAAGTGAGAACATCTGTAGAGAGTTATCTATAAGGGAGACTGGAAAAAAAGATGGCTAACAGACCCCTATTCCTTCTTGGCTCCTTAGGCATGAATTTAATGTTGGTCAGCTTTCATTGTGCTAGAGGTACATCAAAATTGTATATAACACAGGTGTCTATGTGTCTGTACATCTGTGTATATGTGTATATATTTGTGCTTAACCTGCCTTAAACTGATAATATGCAGTAGCTCACTTGACTCAAGTACACAACTGAGTAACTTGTTGGGTTGTGTGTCCTGCAGTGTCCCCTTGTCCATCACCTCCTAGGTCCTTGATTTCCTTTCTTCAGCAGCAGCCCTTTCCTAAACCTTAGTGGTCTTAAAACTCTGGAGGATAAGAACATGGACGCATGCTTCTTCCTACCTCTGGTTTTCAGCACCAGAAATTCTGTGCTTAGCACCTGTTTTCAATCTTATGTTCCATTTCTCAAATCTTATTATATCTCTGCCTTTTCACACTTTGTAGTCTCTCTAATATTTGTTTGCAAAACACTAACTCATTTGTATTTCTATAATTACTGTGATTTTTTGTCTTCTCATCTGTAGTGGTTCTTTCCTTCTGGCAATATCTCTGGAACGACTCTTCTTTCATACAATGGTACAAACTGAAAGATTATCTCTTATTTTAGGAGTGAACAGGCAGGTTTTCTTGATAGTCAGGATATAATCATGTCTCTAGAGCTATAACATTATCTTTCTCATGAAATAACTATTCTATGGATTCTTGACTTAATGAGTCCTAGGATTTCCTTTTTTTTTTTTTTTAAAGATTTATTTATTTTTATTTATACAAGCACTGGGTACAGTCAGAAGCGCAGGAGGGAGAGATAATTCACCAGAGCCAGAGTGGGGAGAAGAACAGGCAGAAGGACCAAAGTACACTGCTGAGGGGAGCAGCAGGTGGCAGGAGAGGTCTGCGAGCCAGGTGGGACCCTCGCTGGTGGCAGGGGATCGAACTGGCACTGCAGAGGCTGCAGGCAGCTTCGCAGCCCAGTGTTCAACTGCTGCGCCACCAGGGTAGGCCCAGGATTTCCATTCTTAAATGAATAACTTATCCATTATACCCTCACCTTACTACTTTACAGTTCAATGACTGTGATTCCAGGTTGGACGTAAGACCTCTTTCAGGAATTTCTTTAGCCATACAATATGACTTTGCAGAGATAACATATAATATTTTCTCAAAGAAAACAGACAAAAACTTCAGGCTCAAAAACTCTGAGCTCAATGCTCAAAAGACATCAGGGGAAAACTACACCCTAAAACTTCCTGTACTGTGATACTCTTTCAGTTGTGGTTTAAGGCTACTTATAGGAAGTTTCCACATTGTCTATGCATTCTGTCAAATCTTTCCCTTTTTTCATAAATGATCATAAAATGCTCTTAGGTAATTCCCTTGAATAGAATTTGTTTTGAAAGTAATTTCAGATCATAACTATGAACAGCACACAAATCTCAAAGAAGCAAATAACCATGGATGCACAAATGCCATGCCAGTACATATAGGACATGCAAGGGACACATGTGGTATAAATGCTGAGTTCTAGACAAAAATGCACCAGGTTGGCTGTTCTTTTGCATTCTTTTGACAAGCAAACTTGAGTTAATCTTCAATTATGATTTATTATAAAATATAGGTTCTCAGAAAGCAGGGCTTTGTGCCTGAGTTTTTTGTGTAGTGGCCCATATTTTGCTACTGTCACAGTGATCTGCACTAGAACGCAAAGAAATGCTATCAAAACCAAAAGAATCCTTTTCACATAATAGCCCTTGGCACATGGTGCTATCAATCTGTCTCAATCCAGTTGGAAATCTAGAGGCTGACATACTATACAGAGAAGGACCATCGTCTTCAAGTTACCTCTCCTGCTATCAGAGACCCAGTGGAAGTCACGACAGACACTATCCAGAGTCCAGACACACAGATGGAGGCTGTCAGGCAATGACTCATACGGCAGCATACAGCATTTAACAAAGCAAAGAGGATTAGATATTTAGACAATAGTCGGGAACCATTCTTTAGTCCACTGACTATAAATGTAAAGGAATGACATTATTTATAGTAATCATGTAGAAATGGAAGAAAGAGCAAAATTTTTTGGTCAGTTTAATCCAATGCTCCAAGATAACTCCTAAGTGAAAATTCCCAGACTTTAAAGAGATAGGACATCAAAATACAGCTACCTTTGCTGACCTATTTAAAAATGACTATCTAGCTTATATATGACCCTCACTTTCAAATCAACTGATGTTACTCTCAGAAAGTTTCATATGTACAAAGATTCCCTTTATTTATCTGTTTTAATCACAGTCATTGATTTTTATTTTCCAGGTAAAAGGAGACAGAGATTGAGATCTGAAAAATGGGCCACCAAATGAGACATTTTTAGAGTGGATATCCGGATACAAATCCAAAATTAAGTTACCTAGTGAAATGCTAAAGTGGCCATTCATTCAAATTAACACATCCTATTAAAAGCTATCTTTAATGCAATATTGCCAAGCATTGTCATCAATATCACAGATTAGAAATCTCTGTGCATGGAATAAGGATTATGTTCCCACTAGGATGCAGCAATATCTTTATCATCACCACACAGTATTTATTAAGGGTCTCCTAGCACACAAGCCACAGTAGAAGGCGGTATCTTTATGACAAACACAATATGTTTGTGAGTAAAAAGCTTAAAGCAACCTGAAATTTTTAAATGTGAGACAAATGCCATATAATGAACTAACATTTTTCACAGGGTGCGTCTCCTGGTGAATGAGGGCTATGAAGATCGAATTCTGATGGCACATGACATACATACGAAGCATCGGCTGATGAAATACGGAGGTCACGGCTATTCTCATATACTCACCAACATTGTTCCTAAAATGTTGCTTAGAGGTATAACTGAGAATGCAATTGATAAGATACTAATAGAGAACCCTCAACGGTGGCTAACTTTCAAATAGGATGATTGTGAATTCATATTTTGAGTATAAGACTTACAGGGAATAGTCAGTGATTTCAAACCCACAGTGAAAGATTAATTGGTGCTACACAGGACTAATGAAGAATCATTTCTTTTTTATGAGAATTAAGAGTTTTACCTTTTCAGAAACTGGCTATTGCATCTGCACCTTCAGGGAGTTGCTGAGCCTAATTGAGCTCTATTTTTTGCCTTAAAATAAATACAGAAATACCTATTTCCAAACAAAGACTTAAAGTCTTTATCCCCTAAGTGGGCTTTTGTTTTGTTTTACTAATCTATCAGCTGCACTACTTGAGAAATTTAAAGTGTTTCTAGTTAAATTCCCCCCTTCTGGAGCAATCTGATGTTTCTTTTAATATTGATGATCCCACTAATTATCCTGCTGTTCTGTAATTAATGCTTAATGAATAATATGACACTTTAAAATAGCTTCTGCAGCAAGGGAAGTTAAATTTTGAGACTTTTTTCGAAAGGATCCTGTAACACAATTACCAATTCATGATGGTAAAAATACTATGGCAGGATAATTATATGCTATCCACCTATCTATCTATATATACATACATATATATATATATATACTTGTAATAAATTAGTTTTGTTGCCTTTGTCTTTCTGATATTCATTTTTACTCTGAAATTTATTGTGTTTTGAAAAATTCATATGAGGGCATGAACACATAACAGTACTGAATTGTAAAAATTCAATCATAAAAGTCAAAAAATATATTACATAATATAGTTTAATGAATCATTACATTTGTAATAACAAAGGCCACAATTTAATTAATAAGATATAATGCAAAAAAAGAAATGTTTGCCTTATATATATTCCTTTTATTTCTTTTACCTTTGATTTGTTTTTCCTTGGGCATAAACAGAGAAACTAATGCTTATTTATCTGAAGAAAAGGTCAGATCTATTAGAAATGACAGTCCAATTCTAGAGCCTACTCTTTAAAAGGTACCCAGGCCTGATTTTTGTGTAAATAAAGTTTTTTTAAAAAATGCTTTATGTTAAAACTCTTAGTTGATGTTCTTGCTAATAAATTTATAATTTATTAATTATAAATTAATCTTTTGGTTTAACCCTCACTATATTACTTGTTACCTAAAAAAATTCTCCAGACCCTGCTACCAATTCCTTTTTGATAAATATATATTGTTAAATAGAAATAAAATCATTGCAACTCCTTTATGAGTTATCTTACATACTAGGAAAACCAAACAGAATTAGTCATTATTCTTGATGAACAGACTGTCATTTTTTTCTCATATAAATCATGACAGTTACTCAGACCAAGTCATTTAAACAAAGCATACAGCACCTTCAGATGAGAACACCATGCATAACTCTTTTGGAAAGTTGAGATTTGCAAAATAAAAGGTATTTTGTGCATTAAAGACAGTTGAGCATTCTGTGTATTAGAACAGAAAGTATCACAAAAGAATGAGCCAGGAGAACAAACTAATTCCTTTAAATGAAAAAATGCAAATGTCCTTCACCAGTAAAACAAGCAGATTTTTAAATCCCTGTTTTTTGAAATCTACTTGTCAAAGAGTCTTCAAAGGCAACTGAGGGGAAACAGATTTTTCATTGCAATAGTGGAAGTTGTTTGATAGTTAGGATACATCAACATGCATTTTTAATCTTTTTCTGAGATTAAAGAGATGGCTTTTGGCAGTGTGTTTTAACCAAAGAGAAAGGATTTGCACTACTCTTAAAATCTACTTTACTGTCAGCCTCAAGTCACCTGAGAAAAAAGAAAAAACTGGTAATTCAAATGCATATAATTCATAAACACTGCAAAGGAGAGTCTCTTTGTTTCGCAGTCCAAATATTAACAGTCTGCCACAGAATGCAGTTAAAGTATTGACTGGCATATGGTGATAAAGAAAACATAGGTTTAATTTATATGATGTATAGGGCTTTTTAACCTAATAAAAGTTAATTTTCTGCATAACTCTTAAAGAGACGTGATTATAATTATTTTGCTACTCCATATATTTTTGTCATTGAAAATAATTTTAATCCAAAATAAGTCAAATAATTTATCTGTGTGTACACACACATATATTTCTTTAACTAATTTTTTGAGGCTATAAAGCCACTATGCCTATTGTCTGAAGCCATATATATGTATATGCCTATATCATTTATATCTCATCCTACAAATATACATATATATGTATATATGCTAGATGAGATGCTACATATACAAGTAGCAGATATTTGTATAAAATATATACACTTTGTTGTCACACCGATTATATGTAAAATTGTTCATTTTGAAATAACCTCAGGCCACAACTTGTAACTATTTGAAAGCCTTACTTAGTGTCCCTTTGGTGACCCATGCAGTGGCTCAAATTAAACCTTTGTCCATTGGGTTATGAATGAATAATCTTTCCTTCCAAAGAAGGCAAATGCCTCCGTCTAATTTAATGACAAAGAATAAATTCCTCTGACTTTCCAAGTCAAATTAAATGTATTCTGTTGACAAAAAAATGGACACATAGGGGATTTGCTAATGCCATACATAATTACACATTTTTACACTTAGAGGGTTTTCCTATGGTAGCATTGCAATAGCTATCTTTAAAGACTATCACCAGAAAAGAGAGAAAAGAAAATTCATAAGAAAAAGAAAATGTGAAAATGATCATAAGCTTGGGAATTCCCTCAAATCCAGAAAATTCCATGTTAAGGCTTGAAGTTGAATCATTCCCAGGTCTAGCTCTAAAGTTAACAAGAGTACAAGGCAAACAATTTCTTTGGGGACAAGCAGCATTATTTCAATTAGACCTTCTCCTGCAGGGTAAAATCATTCTTCCCCCAAACTATGAATGGACTCCAAGTATCATAATAAGCAGGTAAACTCACAAGAATCAAAGCTGACATATGGATAAAAGCAGCAAGATCACAGTACACCAAAGTATCATATATATTGAAGAAATAATTCAGTGTCTTAGATTTTTCTATAAAAATTTGTGATCTATATAGGACTTCATTCACATGGACACTAACGATAAGGAGTATTTGCTTTGGCGGTAGAGGATCACACATCTGCTTATCTTGCTTTTAATATTTTTTTTACATAATGTTTCTGAGTATACAGATGTGAGTCAGGTAGCATTTGATTTCCCCACATATACACAGACTGAGGTGCCCCACAACTGGCATCCCCGGGATCCTTGATTCACTGACGTTAGCCATACGAATCCAGAGTCCAAACTCAGAACTTAATAAGCTGAGTTTCTGTATTATCAGTCAGCATAAATAATAAATCCAGAGAATGTGCTGTATTTGTTGTTGTTTCCTCCATGGGCTTTGCCGCCATCTAATTTGATGTAGACTTCATCTCCAGGCTCCAAGTGAAGAACCACACTGTTACTGGCGTAGTCGTAATTCTGATCTGCATCTTGGGCAATTGCACTAGCGCGCACCTATGTGAAACAGACAAGAATTAAATTTCATAAAAGTAAAATCTCAAAGTACAATCTCAAAGTTCTATTTTTTGCCATTCCCACAACATCATAAGCAGACTTGCTGCTGTAGCACCGAATTTAGCACAGGAAAGTCCAGTTGGCCAAGAGCTTCCTGAGGCTATATTTGTTTTCAGCTATTATAAAGAGGAGGAAAGAAGAAAATAATGCTTTCGTGAGGGACAGTCCAGGAGTCTTTTCTGACTGTATGTTGTAAACAATGCATACCAATCTATACTCTTCCTAAATCACTACTTTTTCTGATTCCTTCAATTTCTATGCCCAATCACTTCTTGAAATGGAAATAATTGGATTTTTTTTTTTTTTTAAATCTTAACTTAAGCCCAAGAGTAATGTTCTAACCAGCACTTTTGGAATACAGAACTTCAGTCCAAACATCATTTGGCCCCATGTTGATTATAAATGAGATCCACAGGCAAAAACTCAAAAATACCACCCTACATACCAAGAAATCTATTACATATCAAGGGGAAGAAAGCCTTTTGATTTGGGGCTTTCCAAATCTGATTCAAGGAAATCACTTTTCCAGGAACTTAATTCATTTAAATATCTTTGGTTATATAATAAAGTTTTATGAGTTCTTTTTTTATGTTTATGCCTTCTTATCACTTCTGATGTATGCACTAATTACTTAATTTTAACATGTCTAAAAGGTAGAAGAAGAACTGAAATTTCTACAATTTGAAGTCTCTAAAATTTCTAGAAATTTTTAATGATTTCATTGTATACCCTATTATATTTAACAGGTGATTCTAATGTGTGGTTTTCTTTGAGGATGGAGGTTGACTATAACCTATTCCTGTTGAGCCTGTGATCTCATTAGGGAGTTGACAGACATTTGCAAACAGTCAAATTGCCTATCAGATCAAGTAATTCGGACATTCTGTCATATCCTCAACTCAAATTAGGCTTCTTTTCATTTAGATGTATTTTGACTTTGCCTTGGAAAATCTTTCAATAGGCAGACTTGTATTTGATTTATTTCAGTAAAACATCTCCTACTTTGTGGCTTGTTTCTATTCCACTTTAATGATATTTCCCTGAATAACATAGCAAGTGATTTAGTGGTTTTGTAAACCTGCACTATGTAATAATGTATGACTTGGGGTACAATATGCTGGATTTTATCACTTGGCAAAATGAGAGAAATGAAACATAAGTCAAGAATTTTCATGCATTTCTTTCAAAACTTAAATGATAGGTTTCCAAATTAAATTTTTATGTGATATGTCTCACATTAATGCTGAAATGTTAAAAAAAAAAAAAAGGAGAAGGCTCTTTGACACTGCTGAACTAGCAAAGTAATTTGAGCAGTATTTTAAAAATTTCTGTCTGGATATCATATAGCAAAAGGAGAAAAGGGCTTAAGGGATTTAGAATTGCTTAACACTGTGCTAACTGACACTGATTGAATGAAAGCAATATGCCATGCAATTATACTCAGAAGCACTGATTCAAAAGTATATGCCAATTTAGTGAGGTGATCTGTTTTGACCAGTAAGTGATAATGCAAGTGAAAGTCATAATACTTCTTAGGAATTAATCATAAGTTTATAGTTGAATGCTTTGATTCATTAACATCATCTAGTCATTAATTCCCAGGAAAAAAAAAAAACGTCTACAAGGAGGTTAGTGCTAAAATAACTTGTTTTTTTAATGTGTAGATTTTTAATGGGTGAGAAAAATTAACATACAAACAATAATTAGCCATATATTAATTAATCATCGATCCATAATATATTTCTGAGCTATTATTAATAAGCAGACACATTTTATTTAGTGTTTTGGGTATTTAGTATATGTTATGTGGGTATTGTGCTCTAGTATTGTTTTCTCTGTGCAGGTATTTGGATATCAGAACTGATTAAAATCACTTGATGTAGAGACAATAATCTTACATATATATGTATAAAGTGCAATTTTTAATTTAGATGATATAACCAAAAAAAAAAAAACCTATGTAAATGTTATTTTTATTTGGTAGGTGTAACCTGCAAATGCATTAGTGTGATCCCAGAGACTAGAAGGTTACCCTTACAAGTTTTACTTCCTTTGTTAGATAAAGCCATTATGATTGCTTTTTAATGAAAGAGATTCTCTAAGATTTTAACCTATACTGTACCATAAGACTTTTCCAGAGTACTTTACATAATTTTAGTGTGCCTGCTCACCGGATTGTACTCTAAAGGTATAAAGGGACTTGAAATTTCAAACTCTAGTATCCAGTTCAGTGACTTCTGACAATTCTTCCTTGAAGCTATCAAACTATTGAGGTAGGTAATGCATCCACCCTGGAAGCTATTTTCAGGTTCCTAAATGTGCACTGATTTCAGCATTTTCTCTCGGAATATGATGCATCCTTTCCTCAGCCCGATATACTCATTTCTACCTAAATGTACTCTAATATCTTCTCATGTTCCAAGTTAACTATTTAGATTCTGCTTGATCTTTACTGCATATTTCAGGGTTACTAAAAAGATAATTAATTTGACACTTCATTTAGCTCTCTAATAAATGAATAGCAACATGCAAACTCTTGATTCTTTCCCATACATTTCAAGTCTATGGGCGCCAAAACTAAAAATTCTTAGAAAGAAAAATGAGTCTTTAATTATTTATAGTTCAAATCCTGAGCCAGTTGTATTTTTTATGCTAGTGGCTTCCTAGTGGTTGCATCCAGCAGCAATGGTTTTTATTCAGCTTTTCTGCTAAAAGTATACAAACATATTAAAAATATTTCCCATGTCTTTGTAAAGTTATTTCAGTCCAACTTTTTACTTTCAATATGCATGGTACTGGGCTTACTACAATTGGCAAGATTCAATTGAGGTTAAAGGTTTCATGTAGAATATGAGTACACTGGTCCTTTTAGTAGTATGTTTGTGAGAATGCAATAGGTTGAATAGTTTAAGCATTATCTTATTAGTGAGAGTTTATCATTAGAGACAATATTTATGGTAACATTTGCTAATTTAATTAATTGCTACTGATGTTCTTGTAATTTCATTTTCATTGTACTTCTGTGGAACCATAAACAAAAGGTTAAGTGGCACATCAGGTTAATTTACTGGCCTTTGATGTTCCATCTGTGATCCTGCATTCAACACAAAGCATAAATAAAATGGTTCTCATATGGTTATGGTCCAGAGAGATTGCGCTATCCTAGAGTGAATTGCATTTTTAGTTTAATTTTTGTGCTTCTCAAAATCCACTTAATCCATAGAACATTACATTGACATGGGTCTCTGACTTTCTGTTTTATGAAAACAAATTAGGTCAGGTCAGAGGGGGAAACTCATTCTCAGACGTGATCACATAAAAGCATAACTGAAAATCATGGATAAAGTCTTTATTTAATATTAAATTCAAAATTTTAGATTGTGTATTCACTACTGCCTGCAGACCAGACTTTACAAAAATAGTTCTATTCTAAAGATAAAATTCCTTAACAGTAATATTGCAATAATCACTTTCCCAAACAGTTTATGCTGAACTCAAAAATGCATTATTTGCTAC